ACTGGAACAAGCCACGGTACGAGCTGACGGTTCCCTCTCTGCCCACAGGAACGACCTGCCAGTTGTGTCCTCCCGGGTGGCAGCTACACAGGGGAAGGTGTTACTACTTCTCCGAGGAGGCCGTAAGCTGGGACGACAGCCAGAGAAACTGTCTGGCTAGGAAATCCCAGCTTCTCGTCATTGAGGATGAAATCGAGATGGTGAGTCTCGCGGCAGCCCCAGAATTGTGCGACAGGCAGATGCCTGAGCCAAGCAGTTGGGCAAGCGAAGGGGGCCCAGACGTCGGGTGCACGTGCAGGTGAGCAGAGCCCCGCCAGGTGCAGAGCCTCTGACTCTCCACAGGCAGGAGCATCTTTGGGGAGGGTCAGCAGAGTAGAGCTGAAGAGCAGAAGCACGAGAGAGGCAAGTGTGGAAGGCAGAGTGGTTTTGACTGGGAGGAGGAAACGCTGGGGACTTCCCACCCACCTCCATTACTTGGCTCTGGAGAGAGAGGTCTGATTGAACCACTAACTGGGAAGTCAAACACCCAAACCTCCTTCTCATTTTCCTTGGGAAAACGAACAGCGAGGTATCACCGAATGGCTCTCCTGAGAAACTCATCGTTCCCCGAGAAACAGGTCTTTTACCTTCAAGACCAGGCTTTGCAACCTGGCTCATCAGGGTTAGGAGCATCACTGAGGGGTTTTCTGACAGCTGACGAGCAGCTAGTCAGCCTGGACAACCAGTGGGGCTGGTCTCACGCGTACGGGCTGTCCCTGCCCTTGCTCTCCCTGCGAGGGGCTGCGTGGAACGCTGTGCGTGAGACGGGACAGTGACCTGAGCACCGCAAAAAAGGTCTGCGGGTGGGTAACACACCTCTACTTCTTCCACAGGAATTCATAGACAATAAAGAGAAAGATACCAAATATATCTGGATTGGGTTGAAGATTCAAGACATGGAGAAACAATGGAGTTCAGCTGAAGGTCCCGGAGCAAATGAAAACAGGTGATGATTTGGGGGGGCAGCTAAGGTGTGGTACTCCACATGTAAACACAGCTCTGAACCAAGATAATTTCACAAAGGACAGGTCCGGTCCCGCAGCCTCAGGCACCTATTCAGGGTCCATTTCATGGCCCAGTCCAGGTTAACTGGTTTCTGCTGGACGCCTTTGGAAACAGATTTGTGTTCTGCCTTCAAGACTAACCACAGTCACGTCCGTGTACGTATTAATGCAGAGGGACATTAGTGAACACTTCTCCCACTGAAATCACTGTCAACAAACTCTCTCAGTGTATAGACCATGTACGATGGTGTTGGGACCCGTGCAGCTGAGGGGTCTTTCCCTTCCCTTTCACTGTTACAGTTCAGCATGGTGGCTGCACGTGGAGGTTTTCGCATCCTTCTTAACGCTCGTGTTCATGAGCATCAGTCTCTCAGCAGCCAGCAGGTTCTGCTGTGGGTGCCCATTCCACCCATACATGGTCGTTGAAGAACTGTGGGTTACCGAACGGGTGTCACCCAAACACTTCATTCAGGATACTGTCAATATTTTTATCCAGCACTAAATTTAAAGCTGACGACAACTCATTACATTCCTTTTGTTCTCCCACCAGGAAAGCTCTAAATAGAAGAGAGACCAACAAGAACTGCGCTGTTTACAGAAGAAAAAACATGATCCAAGCAGATAACTGCCAGACTTTAAAGAAGTGGATCTGTAAGAAGAATGCAACTTTGCTGGTGCTCTGAGCCAAATCGTCTGACAACAGGTGGATCTTTTTGTCAGAAGACCCCTTTTACTGATAAAGCAACACGTGATGTAAATAATTTTCTAAGTCCCGCACAGAAATTTGAATTCTGCTGTTCTGTGCTCCCCAAGACATTGTGTGATGCAAACAGGGAACTCAGAAGTTGCCCGGTGTCGGTGAGAAGGTCGTGCGACAGGACCGTGGGTCAGCACGTGCGGATTTGGGGGTGCTGAGCCTTCCCCACAGGCAGACATTGGCAGCGGCGGCCTCTGGGAAACGGCGAGGGAGAAGAGGTGCCCACGTGAGGAGGGGCACCGCGCAGGTGAACGGCGTAACGAGCAGGAGAGGTGCCGTCTGCGGGGGCCGAAGGGTGCGTTGGAGCCCCCTGCTCTCACACATGTGCCTGAGGCAGCCGCTGCTGAGCTGAAAGACCTTTTACTTTGGGTTCTGGTATTCCAGCACTTTCTGAAGTTTGTGGGGTTTTTTCTCCTTACAGTCTAATTGCAACTTACAAAAGTCACTTGAGGGTTGGGAAAAATGCATTTATTAGACAGTCTTACACTTACCGAGAGCTGACCTGCACGGCTGCTGGGTACCCAGATACCAGACGCAACGCGGAGTGACTCACACCACGTGTGATCGCACGTGAACTCTTGGCGTAAAGTACCACGGCTTTAGCACGGCCACAACGGCAGCGGTGGAACAAAATGCTCATGAGCAATACCCAACACCAACAGACTGACACCCCTCCATCCATAGACTCTGACGGGTGACATCTCACTTAATTATGGACAGACAGAGATGCCAGGAAGGTAGCAGGTGTGTATAAGGGAGAGCTGAAAAGGCGTAGAGATCTTCAGCGGAAAGAGACACCAAGCACGTGGTGCATTCTGCTGCGTTCCACAGCCACAGCGCAGTGGCTCTTCTGGAGGACTTTGGGGCTACAGGTTAGAAAGTGAAAAGGACCTTCAGTGTGGCTGACTTCCTTTCAAGTGAAAAAACAACACAGATTTACCCTGTAGAACGCAGCATCAGCAGCTACAGACTCATTTGAAAAACTGCAGTTACGTTAAAAAAAACAACAAAAAAATTCCCCCAAACCTAGTGCAGCAGGGGTTGGTTTGTTCTAGACAGAGAAGCAAAGGCAAGCAAAGAGTCTGAAATGAATAAGATAGATCTATCTACCTCCCTATCCATCCATCTCTCTAATACATACGTGAGTAATATATATTTTATATATTTTTATATATATGTATATTCCCCATTGAGAAAATGTAACTTCAAGGTACTTCAAGCATACCCTTCTCCATGCATTGGAGACAACTGCTGAATTGCTGGTTTTATGGCAGATATTTCTGGAGCCATGACAAATTTAAAAAGAAAAACTTCCAACTCCTGAGCTGGCTTCTCTCAAATTGGTTGTGGTGTTCAGGTTTTAGCAGTCTTCATGAAACACTGAGGTTTTGAGCATTCTCGCTATTACTAAAGTAATTAAACATGTTTCTGCAAGGTCTTACTGAAGCTCTTACCTACGTTTTAATCAGTCACTAAATCTTGAGTTATTCCACTGATTTGAAACCAAAAACAAAGAAAAAACTGGCCACTGAAGTGAAGTACTTCATTAAGCCCCACTCTGAGTAAAGCATTCGCAGCCTGACCCTTCATTTCTCAGCATGACAAACTTTGGATAATTAGGCAGATGCTAATTTCCCCATTAAGAGTTAGATTGCAAAAGAGCCTTCATTATAACCTCCTGTGCTCACAATTTCTCCAAAACCTCCTTTAAGAACCAAAATTTCCCATGTTTGGGTTCTGTCCATAGATGACACCAACGAAAAAAGAAACGTAAGGCCAGTGTTGTTTTGTGGCTAAAAGAAACCCTGACGTAAGTCAGCTCCTTGAGAAAGACACAACGTGGTACGTGAACACTCCTTGTCCCTCACACTTTCTACCAGATTTGTGAAACGAACCTCTAGTACGTCCCTAACTTGGAAAATTTCGTGGAAAACTCCACATTTCCCTCCAAAGTTGCTGTACTGAGTGTGTTTCACTCTGCACGTTTCAGCGTGGCCACGGGAGTGCTCCAGCGTTTCGGTTAAAGGCTTTTGTCAAAACTCCGACACGTTTCGAGGGGTGCAAAGGGCTGGAAGCGTCAGGAAGTGAAACGCGTTCTTTTTTGGGTCAAATGTCGTGTTCCATGTTAAAGATCTTTTCATATTCAAAACCTGATAATTTTAATTTTGCTTCATTCTGGTGATTTTTTTTTTCCCCCAAAAGGTGCCTGAGCTGAAAAATACTGTTAATGGCACAACATTAACACACAACACTGCCAGAATTCAGAGCCTCTGTAAAGATATTTATTGAGTATCTTTTCAGGACTATTGCACATGCCATATCCTTCAGAGCTGGTGAATTTAAAAATATTGCAAAATACTTCCCCTCCACTAGTTATATATAAATTAACACATAGATTATTAGGCTATTCATACTGTAGAGTCCTGTTACTGTGCCTATAAAATACTAGCAATTAAAAAAAAGTGTAGTTCAGCAAAATTAGTGATCATATATAAATAAACATTTTAAAGTCACAAGTTGTTAAGAGTATCCATACTGCACGGCCCTGTTACAGTAAAGACCTACTGTCACGGAAAACAACGAAGGCACAAACAGGACGCAGAACAAAACTCGACAGCAATTAGACTTGCATGAAAAAAAAAAACCAGTGAAGGCAAAAATAATTACAAATAGGACAAAAAACCCCGAAGAACCAACACCACTCCGAATAACCTGTCAAACACGGTGCAACTGAAAAACGAGAAGGCACCTTCCCATCCCTGAGCCTACAGTGCACTCTAGTGGCTGCTCCAAAAGCGGCTCCGCTTCCTCCTCCAAGAAGTCCCACGGACTCCACAGTGCTCTTTATAGCCTTCAGACCACAAGAAAAACAATCGTCCAGATTTTATTCTGAGCAGGGAACTATTTTGCCCCGCTCTACAGGCGAATTCCCCATTCCTCCTTCTCTAGAAACCCGACAGGAATAGTCCTTCCAGGAGAATAAGCTGCTTTGCTTCCTTCGGGTTACCGGCTAGACACGGGCGGGCTGAGATACGCACGCAGAAGAAACCACTGATTGTCCATCCAGAAATGCATCACTCGCTCAGAAGCCTCATGCTCCAACAGGCACGGGACATGAGGAAATCATGGAAAAACACCCTTTGCTGTTAATTCTCTTATTCTCTACTCACAATTTTTGCCCATCCACACCAGAGACTATTTCTCTCTTTGCAACATTAATGCCTGCAGCTTCATTATTACTTTTTCAGTTCAAACTCTTTTTCCCCTATCAGGGCAGGTGCTCAGGTAAATAATTTATCTATTCTGACTTGGTTTTGCTAAGACCAGTGCTGTGGGAAGGACTTCAGGTGCAGGGCTGCTACAGAAATCCCAATGATAATACCGCCAAGCTAATTTAGTAAGATTAAAGCAAAACAACGTTAACAAAACACTGAATACAATGCAGAGTCACACAAGATGCACCCCGTCAAACTGGGAGAGCCCAACCTGCAATGATCCTGTCTAAAACAGTGCTCATTTCTGCATCACCCTGTACCTGGCAGATACCCCGTCAAACTGGGAGAGCCCAACTGTCTAAAATAACAGCGCTCATTTCTGCATCACCCTGTACCTGGCAGACCTTCGGGCAGACCCACTTCACAACCCCTCCCTGCACACCGAGCTTGGCTAAGGGAAAATCAGAACAAATACCTCCAACAGTACACCAAAAACGAAAAAAAAACAAAACCAAAACCAGCTGGTTCAGATCCTACAAGAGAAGAGTTAATGGAAAAAATACTGATGACACAACAAAAAGAAACCACAGGCTGAGCAGTCACTAGAAGAACCGGGCAAGGAAACGACTTATCAAGCCGCTGAAGCAAGCCTTTTAAACAGTATCTTTGAAAAACAGAGGCTTCCTCCATGGGTGGAGAATTCTGGCTACCAGAAAAGTTATTGACCTCCGGGCAGCGGCTGAGATGTGTTCCCAGGTCCCAGAGTACAGGCACAGCCCCTGCAGACATCGTACCAGAGCGTCGGGTGTCAGGGCCGGTGGCTTTGTCCACCTTCATTGTGCTGAGCTGCTGTTGGAGCTACAGACCCACTTCCTGGTTAAATAACATCCGGAGGCCGAGACTCCTTTTGGCTCGAGATAGGCACAGCTTCCAGAGCCTTTCACTTCAATCCTGCAAGGAGAACGGAAGACACAGTAACGTCAACACCCACAACCAAGTAACGCAACAGAGCAAGGGGAACTCGGGGATCAGAGGTTCTCTTTGTACAAAGCCCGAGTTACCACAAGCAAGGCATCGCGGGAGGAGGATGACAGCTTGTGCTTTGAAGAGAACACCACAAAGACTGGCTTTTTGTGATGGGACCTGGCCCCCAGAATACAAAATATAGGGCTTGTGGTACTCCTGCATCCTGTCTAGTGATCATGCAATGGGAAATATGCCCTTAGAGTGGAGACTGGAATTCAGGTGTGCCCTTCTCAAGGACGCTGTGCTATCAAGATTGGCCCTACCTTTGACTTCCACAGCCTACACAGCTAAAACGTTCCAGCAGAAGCTGTGTGACAAACACCTCTCTCATTTCCCTCTTCCTCAGAGCCGAACACAGCACTATGGTTAAGGGGGAGGTGGAAAACAGGAAGCGAATCTCAGCTTCCACACCACATGTGTCCCTACGTAAGAGGTAAGGGTCTCCTTCGCCAACTCTCTTTTCAAAAAGAGGGCTACAGTGTTCCATGAACAGGCCAACCAAACCAGTATGGTTTCTGGAAAAGCCAAGGAACAGATCCCCACCAGTGTTAACATGACTAATAGCAACTGAGCTTAGACACAAGGTGTTTGCCCTTTTAAAGACAGGAGGGGCAGTCTGAGGCAAGCACAGAAACAGAAGCCTAAGAACGTGAAGAACTTCATCACTGAAAACGGAAGCACCAGTAGCTGTTTGTAGCACACACAGGGAATAAGGAAGAGTGGGAAGGATTGCAATTTTCAACTTGAGATGCCTACGTGCTGCTCACATCTCACATTAAATGCAAGAGATCTTGATCAGATCAAGCCCTCAAGTCTCGGAGATGGACTGAATATAGTCACGCAACACTGATAATGTCACAAACTTAAAAGTATTTAAATTTTCCACTTTTTAAATTCATTTCAGACTTGTGAAATCCCAATGCTTATTACTGTCACAGATAATTCTACCAACTCCTGCCAGCAGCTGCCCCAGGACGAGCAGGAACAGTCTCTGAGAAGATGGGACAGCTGTCGGTGGGAGGAAGGCAGTGCCCCACACCTGACACCGGTGGGACAGAACACAGGGCCGTGACCACAGAGCAGCTCATGCAACATAAATGCACAGCTTGCCCTTTCCACCCAGCAGCCTTTTTGTGGGCACGTTCTATAAGAAGTATGAAAATACCTCTTAGAAACCTCCCAAATACCTTTGCAATAAACTCCGTGCAGGTCGCACACAGGTTTGCACTTTCACAAAATACATTCTATAACGAGGAATTTGTGTTACTGCAATCTTCCATTCCTCCCCTCGTCGCTGTCGTACGTCGGTGGTTTCTTGGCTTAAATCTCATTTTGCTCTCCTGTCTGTTACCATGAGCTCCCGTCTCATGTCGCTTCTGAACCCGCTATTACAAATTTATCTCCTGACTTTCATTCATCACAGTTTTAACAATGCTATCTGAAATCTTTATTGTTTTCCATGCTGTCTCCATAGTCATCCCTCCGACATCATTACAGATATTTCTTTCAAGTCACTGTCTATATCTGTGTTAGTTATCCTTACTTAGTCCCCTATAATCTAGTACTACCAGCAAAAACCCCTCAACATTGACTTACAGTTTATTGTCTAATGCTTTCCCATTTACCCAAAAGAACTCTTCATTTCTTTTATAGAGTCCAATCCATGGGTCTTGCTTTGTTATCTTCACCATAAAACTCTGTAGGAATAAACCCGTATGAGAAAAGAAGTTCTGCATGTTCAGTCCAGCTATCAAAATACAAAGTCAGGGCTAGAAATTCAGGGCTAGAAAGCAAAACAATGATCTTGCCTCTCTCCCAGAAGAAACCATATGAAAAATTAAATCTACAGAGTACTGCAGCATTGTGCGATCCACGTAACTGAAAGAGGACCTCTGCAGCACTCGGATACCGTAGTGACAGAAATGCCAACTATGCCAACGCAAGGACACTACTGGATGTTAAGAACAGATACAGAACTGCAAATGCATCATTTTACTGTCTCTCCACAAGAAAGTCTTCACAGAATGACAACACCTTTGCAGCTAGCATATTTCTCCACTGCTGATATGTCTTCACCATATTATCAGCTAGCAAGGATTTGTGGAAGACATCTTAGAGATTAGTTAAGGAAGATCCTTGCCCCAGTGCGTGCAACAGAACCTGCACCCAGTACGGCCATTGTACTGGTGTCTGTGATAGGGCTGACTGACCGAGGGAGAGGCTGTTTTAAAATACCAAGGTCTGTAACAGATATGGAAGAACACATTCTCTTAGGCCTTTGTGCTAGCTGGAATCTTTACAAAAATCATGGTATGATACAGAAAAAGATGCTCCAAGCTGTGGTTAGGATAACTGTCTCCTAAGTCCCAAGGTCAAGATTAACACACCTACCAACTGGGCTGTCATTAACCTGTCTCGCAAAGAGAGAACAGTTGTCTAATTAAAGATAAATGAGATGCAACAGTGTTTACCCTGATAGCTGCCTTCAGTGTGAACATTTACAGCCGTGAGCAGCACTGAACTGAACTCAGATAAGCCTCGGGCATTTTCCAAAACACCAACTGCTAAAACTGCAGTTTGCAAGGAGAGGAGGCACACAGCTTTCTGCAAGCGGTGGCTCGCCACGCTCTTTGCATCAGCTTTCAAACTGTTCAGCTTAAGAAGCTGGACGAACACACTGCTTCATTGTGCAGCTCCCTAGGAGTGAGATGGGGTGAAACCAGGACCCCCCTTTTGTTCCCTTACCAGTTCCTGATGATTTTCGATCACCAGGAGAGAAGCATTGTGCAAAGAGCAGAGGCTCTGACTGGAGTTCCAGTTGGCTTCACTCTCTGAGAGGTAGTAGCATTTCCTCTGGAAATACAGCCAACCTGATGGACAGAGTTCCAGGGAGGGACAGATAGGAAAATCTTTGGCTGAAGAGCGGCTTACTGCAAAAAGACAAAAAACAATCTACCTATTTCTTCCAACTGGAAAAGGTTTCTGGAGCTTTTTAGCTTGCTTTCTGACTGCATCATCTAAAATCATCTAAGTCTAGCCATAGCGTTTTTACTTCTGCCCAGCTGAAATAATTATTGTAAACTAATTATACACTCTGGCTCCTGCACCCTTATGGTTACTGACATACCTTTAAAGTGATGATCGGGGCACGCTGGTAGAAGTAGCTGAGAAGGTGATAATAACGTATGCTCCAAGGACTCTTTTGTAACTTAAATATTTCTGACAACTATGGTTTTGCAAGTATTGCTTCCTTGCAGCTGAATTAATGGCTTTGTTTACTACAGTGTCATTTTTTGAAGGACTACAGCTTGGTTGCAAAGAACAGTCTTCCATTTGTTATTTGTTTTCGTGAACTTGGATTCAGACCAACAGTGAGGCTATGGACTTGAATATCAGAAGTACATTAAGACTAAACTGAGCACTCTCTAACACCACTGCAACTAGTGGAGTCATTTCTCCAGCTCTTGACCACAATTTTAAACAATATGTCATGCAACGTCTATTTAACTTTGAGATAAGGTAAGTTCTGAATAAACGTTTTGAAGTTTTAAGGGACTTCTGACAAACTAAAACTTTGGTAATTTCTAAGGCTAATAATATTTTTTAAAAAATGATTTACACACTTACCAAACTGAAGAGACAAAATCAAAATGACAGCAGCAGTAAGGACTCCAGCAACACCTCGCCATAACCAGATATTTGAGAATAGCCCTGGAAAAAAAAAAGTCAGGAATTAAATCCCACAAAACCACAACCAGCTGACAGGGCAGTAGAGCTGTTCCAAAAACAGTTGTTCTCCGTGGAGAGCAGGCTGGGAGCAGGGCCGAAGACTAGGAAATGTGTGATATTTAGCTTGTCATCACAAAGCTACTTAGCTGCTAACAAGAACTCTGAATTATGCTGAATTTTAATTAGGTCATCCAGAACTTAACCCAATAGTGAGGCAGTTTCCCAAAGTGACACTCCGAAGTCATCGAAAAGAAGAAAATGAGCATGAAACAAATGAGGGTGATGGTAAGTCTGAGGTTGACCTATGTCTAAACGTGGCACAGATAAGAGAAATC